CAAAGAAAGTTCATTCCTTGTGTGTTAAACCCTTTTATCATGAGAATAATCTAGTCATGTTCAATAAAAATTACATTCTATTCAATCCTGAAACATTTGATTGACTATTGAAATCATCCAATTTTCTTGGAGGTGATTTTTGACTGAATTCATTTCCTTAATCATTTGAATTAGTTTCCTGAGTTCATTTTGTTTTCATTTTTTCTTTCAAGAAAATTTCCATTATGTTTGATTTGCATGGTTCACTTGTTTTTTATCTTATCATTTTACCCAAATATCCAAGAAGAAAAAAAAAGAATGGAAGAAAACCGAAACAGAAAGGGGAAAATTGGTGATACCAACTTCCTGATAGTTGACCCTCCAAAGTCTCAGGGTTACCCTGGCAGGTGTCCACATTGCCTATTCTGGGATATTTAGGGGTAAGTTAGATGAGTTTGCAAACTAAGGCAGTTCCAAACCAAATAAAAGTGTGCAATCATCTCTTCATCGGTAGCCAAAGGCCAGAAAGTTTCCTGTTTTCCAAAATGGGAAGTCCTTTTACCCACCAAAATGGGTTGGCTTCTTCCCAGTGGGAAGAAATGAGAAAAAGAAATGTTTTAGAGGAAATCGGAGACCCGGGGGGTTAGTACTCTTGTGAGTAGTAAGTACATTCGAGGAAGGTCAATGGCGTAGTTGGTGAGACCTTGAATTCCCTGCGCCATGACAGACCATCGCTTCCAAATATTTAGTACCCGCCCTATATCTCCAGCTTTCATGCCACGGTTGCATTCAACAATACTTGAAAACTCTTGTAGGCGGAGTAGCATATTTGCAAGACATGGTGCTTTTGGATTCTTTGCTTTTGACAGAGCTTCAGGAGAAAGAAACTTGTCGTAAACGGAGTCGATGATTGCAAGAATATCCTTTGATTTCATTGAAACCTTTTTGTTTGGGAAAGAGTCGGTTTGTTTTCCCATGATTGACCTATAACAAACACATAATATCATTGGAAATCAATTTATCAATTTGATCATCACAAGACATTTTGGGACAAAAAGAAACAGGCATACAGTATCAGATAAGCAATCGTAGCTTCGTGTACCTTCTGTATTTGAACAAGCATCGACGAGAAATCCTTCTTGTTGAGGATTTGATTTGATTTAACACCTAGAGCCTCTAGGAAGTGCCAGCAGCCAAGGTCTTTTGGGTCTGAACTATTCCCGAAGTGTAGTGAGATGATTGCCTGGGCAAAGTTCCAGAGAATATGTGCCCCACCTAGGAGGGTGAAAATGTTCGAAAGACTCTCCTCGGGTCAATCATTTGGCTTCCGCTGGGCACGCAAGCTGTTGAGATTGAGGCAAGTTCATAGATCACCCTCAATCACCATAAGTCTTGAGGCAAACTTAGAAGGTTTCAGTCCGCTTTGTCGTGCAAGGCCTTCCAACACCTCTCCGACTCCTTCTGAGCTGTTGTCGGAGGCAACCATTAACTTGAGCATGGTGATGTCTGGCTTGCGAGCGGCTAGAACCTCTATTGGTGGCGGCCTCAGTGGGATTGTTGGTGTTTTATCACTAGTTTTGGCGATGTAGGTTATCATAACAGAAGCAACCTGGCTCTTCAACACCGATTGGTAATGCCCGCTTTCAGTCTTGTTGAGAATGAATATTGCTGGCGATATAAGTTTGTCGCCTGAATTTGCAATTGCATTCCTGTAAGCTTCTAGAGAGAGGTCTTTCGGATCCACACTGTCTAGAAGATCGGGATGAGGCAGATGAAGGTACCCCCAGGTACCGTGGAACATCGTACTTTGGTTGTCGACCGATTTAACATGAACAGCCTGTTGGAAGTCAAGGTTGTCGATGCAAATCAAAGGGCATAAATTCGGAGAGGCAGCTGGACCAAGTTTCATGCGATTTATGATTGTTTTTTCGGCCTTCTTTCCAAGTGTATGCAATGCCAAATGTGCTGTTAAACAGCAGGAGCTTAAGCCGATAAAGTTGAGATATTTGTTGACACAATCAGAGACCCCACAAGCTAGAAAAACAGCCGCATTTTCAAGTTGCATGGAATTTTTTTGTCGGTTTGATGCAAAATCCACCATGGAACAAATTGTTTTTGATATCTGGATGAACCCCAAAATCAAAAGAAAAATTGACCAGCTCTTCAATAAATCAAAACCTAGGTTAGTTGTACTAGAAATGGACATACAACATGTGCTCGATGGATTTTTGCAGCAATCTTAGAGTCCTTGTCCTTTTCAACAAGCTCCTCATCGGAATCCTGAAGAGAGTCGCTGTCATCTTCATCGCTAGTAGGATCATCTGCATCATCTCTGAATGATGATTTGTGCAGTATTTTTGATTTGAGAAGGTTGTATAGGAATGGATGCTCCTCGACTGTTATTCGATGATCTCGTTTCGCTAGGTTATCTTTGCTGAAAAAATCAGCTGTTATTTCTTTTGAGTTGAAATACATCCCTCGAGGGTTTTCACGCATTTTATCGACTTTCAGAATTGTCTTTGCCTACAAGTCACCAGATAGAACCAATGAGTGATTGGTTGAGAAATCAATGAGATCCGATCAACATCAAAAGACATACCTGACTAAGGATGAAACCATTCCAGTTGGTTTCCCCAGCTTTGTGAGAGCAGATCATCGTTCCGATTGCCTCCAGCAGGGTTTTCGTTGAGTCCCAGGCATCATCTGCCCAAAGCCGACGCCGACTCCTTAACTGCGTATCGGTTTGCTCGACGAATGCAAGGAAGAATTGCTTCGGAGTCATGCCGAGTAGATTCATGACATCGCAAACGTATAAGACCTTCGACGCTTCGCTTTTGAGCTCCTTGTGTCGTTCGAGGGGAATCATTTTCAAGATCCTTGCGGTCGAGTATGTTTATGATGACCTGATCGGATTGATGGTTGAAAAAAAAGGTAGGATGTATGCGGACTTGAGTGATGATATCGGAAATCTGTAAGTTTATTGGAGGACTTCCCGTTGGATCTGGGAGCCTCGCAGTTTCCGATTTAGACCCAAAAAGTCTAGATTTTTGCAGGGAAATCTAGCTTTTTCGGCTCTAAATCGAAACTGGGAGCCCCGCAGATGTTGACGGGAAGTCATCCATTACAGAAACTCTG